ACCCTTGGCAACCTCTGCGCATACACAAAGCAATACAACAGGAAAAAAGACGATCCACAGCACACTCACCTTTCGCTGAGGATCACAATGCACGACCCAGTCATTCCTTCAGAACGCTCCAAAAAAAAGAAAAACACACAAAACAAACAAACCCTCTGAAGTGAAACCGAAGCGTGTGCACGTCCACCGAGAAGTGGGACGACCAGCACACACATATGCTCTCCTTATTCCCTTTGAGCACAGTCCAGGAAGAGAGAAAGAAAGAGATCACCCACCAAAATAAACCGAAAAACAATATAAAACAAAAAAACCAGTTCCGTTCCTTTGACAGGAATGGTGGTAGTACAAAGTGGGAATTCTCGTTGCTTTACAAAAAAAGGAGCGCCAAGGCGCAATTTATGTGTGTGGGTACGTTGCATTATGACCGTGTTATACATCTTGAGTGCGTGGCTCCACTGTCCACGGATACATACATACATATATATACACATATATGCACATTATTGTCCCACCACACATTTTTAGTGCCCAGCCGTTGCTACTGCTGCTCAGAGAGGCGCCATCGCCACGGCGGCGGCCACGGCGAAAAGCGCAAGGGAACTGAGACCAACAGCCGCAACTGGAGTGCCTGCATGGTCTGGATCCTCCACCGGTGGCGGGGTCCAGGTGTTAGGGAAGGCTGTGCACACGTCGGCGTATTTGGGGCACCTGATGCTCCCCCCGCTCCATCTGCTCCCCGACGACGCAACCATCTCACCCTCATTGCAGTCGTGCCACCTGCCGTCGCCAAGGAACTGCACCCTCAGATTACCCCCACTGCACTGCGTGTTCACGCACACATCGCCAATCTCTTGGTAATCAAAACGAAGCCCCTCCCCCTTTACGCACCGTGAGCTCGAGCCAATGAAGCTTCCAGGGAATTTATTGGGGTCACCGTTTATACATCCAGACGCTTCACGCCCCATAACATACGGACAGTAGTCCATAGACTCAAAACCTCCATGTGTGGTGCCATCAAAGTACTGAAACTCCGGTGCAATGGGCTGCGAGTGAGTCTGTATCCCACAGTACCCCAGAGAAAGACGATCATACGTGCAGAGCAGCCTGCCTTCGATTGACGTCTGCCCGCAGAACAAGTCAGGGTAGTCGGTGCGGCCATTGGTCAAGCACTTATTTTCCAGCAGCCCGCAACCAGAGTTGTTGCCCCACCGCAACGTGTCCGCCATGCCGTAGTTAACCTTGAACACACCCATGTCCTCAAATGCCGCAAGCGTGAATGCCGAGTAATAAATGGACGGGGGATGAGCATTCATCACCTCGTCAAGTGCGTTGCGTTTCTTCCAGTGTCCCCTACCACCCGACTCGTCCAGCTCCATGCCCTCAAGTGTGGGGCAATTGTAGTACTTCCTCACCAGCGCCTTCACCTTCGGTGAGGAAACTATCCACGTATTTTCTCTCCCACGCACATTGGGGACGATGGAGACCATATTGAACCAGGAAAAGCGATCATACGAAAACCCAATAGCGTGCCCAATCTCGTGCGCTGCAATACCAACAGCTTCATGAGTAGCCCTTATGTGCCGGGGGTCAAAGTTCATGGCGCCAACGTATGGGCGTCCGTCCATCAGAATAACGCACATATTCGCCGATGCAATGGAGGTTGCACTAGGGAGTGCGTTGACGTAGAGAATCAGGTCGGCGCCGCTCACGCCGATCGTGTGGTGCCAGGAAGGGATAGTGAAATGGCTGCACCGCCCTAGATCTTTCTTTGGTATGGGGATGGGACCCTCCACAGGCTTCACGGAGAGACGCTCGGTGTGCATCTTAATTGCGGCCGGGAGGAGTTGCTTCAAAAGAATGTCCTTCTTCGCCTTCGTCAAAATAGATTTTTCTGTGCATTTCACCCTGCTGCCATTGGGCGCTCTCAGATACCCCACTGCGGTACAGTACCTCGACGGATCGTCCATGTCCTTCGTGAAGACCTTGATGCGGATCGGGGCCCACTCACTCCCCACGCCTTGTGTAGCGATGGTGTACGCCTGCATCGCGCCCTGTCCTCTGCGCGGCACATCACGAACCACCGCAGTCGCTGGAGGCCACCACCCCATCATCTCGCCAAACCCGCAGCGGTGCTTCCGAGCGGAATCGGCAGCGAGGCACCCAGCGGCGCAACACACCAACAGCAGCAAAAACACCGCCAGGGATAGAAACGGCATGCTGCGGGGTGGCTGGCACATCGCCTGAATAAACTCCCCGTGCTGCTTCCGTTTGAACATCAGCAGCGGCATTATTAGTGGTGGCAGTAGTAGCAGTAGTAGTGGTGGCGCAGACCTTTTCCACAAGAAAAGAAAAAGGAATAAAACGATAGTTATCGCCGGCGCCCACAGTTGGGCACCCCGCAAAAAAACAGCGACAATCCAAAACTGAGGCCGCACCGACAAACGCATGGGCCGCAGAATCACACACTCGCCGCCGCCATAAGAAACACCCACACGCACCCGCACGGAGAGTCCGCAGTGTGGGACGCCTCCCGCATAAATCAAAAATAATAAAAAAACAAATTCATAAGCGCCTCGCTTACCGTCTCCCCCGCCCAGCCCCTTCAAACCCCGCCAGCAGCAACATGCAGTGCGCATGCCGGCAGGACCTCCCATCACGGCCCCCACAAACTCCCCAACGCCCCCCACCTCCCTCAGCGCACTGCAGGAGTAGTGGGGTGTAGCATACTTTTTTCTAAAAAAAAACCCTCCCTAGTAAGAGCGGCAGCCCCCTTTCTTGCTGCTTTCGTTCGGCTCGCAAGCGAGGGTGACGCCGATGCAGCCGTAGCCTCAGACTGCCCGATCAGTGGGTGCAGCCCGACCAAGACGGAACAGGCGCATGCGCCCAGGACGGCAACACAACAAAAGAGAGAGAAGCCAACGTCGTTTGCTCAAGGCTCCCAGCGGTGCATGCAGCACACCCAATTGGAGCGGCACGCCAACCAAAAACAATAGCATACCAAAACAAAGAAAAGAGAAAAACACTACGCCAAGGCGCAAATCCAACTGCAAAAATTCGGTTTGGTCCTGATTTCTAAGCGACACTAGTGAAAAGAAAAGAGTGAGATATTTATAGATATGTAATACATGCCTTGCCCATTCATGGAATGAGGTTTCCCGATCCCACATCACCTCCATAGAGACAGCAACAAAGACACACTTTTCTGAGGCAGAAGGAGACTTGTGTGAAGGCGACCCTCATTCACCTTCACAACAGTTTCATATACATGTACTGCAACTCTCATGGATCGGTGACGCCATGAAGAGGGCATACACAACGTCTTGCTTCGAAAGCTGCAACATGTTTTTCACATGAAGAAAAAACAGAGATACACCACCACACCGCACAGTTTCACTCCGAAAGCTATAGAGGCAAGCTTAGAAGAGAAACATGCATCACCCATACAAATAAGTAATAAACTTTCAATTCACAAAATCGCAAAGCTTCTCTTATTATTTTGAAGAGAGACCTCCTTAAGAGCGGAAGTGCAATAAAAATGTACGACACAATGCCTATAAATCTTTCTCCCTCATGTCCTTTTCTCATGAGCGCCACAGTGATGTTTGGAGTACCTCAGGTGCAAGTGCGGATGCAAGCTCCTCGCACGCTGTGAAAGGTAGCGTTTTAACGCATGCGCCTGCGTTGGCCCCTAGCAAAGCACAACCTCGACGAGAAAACTGCCCTCGACAAGCCATTCCGTGCTTTCATACCAAACAGCAACAAAACTTGTCTACGGCAGGCGAAGCAAGAATAAGGCGGAAAAGTTGATCCAGATATAGATATATAAAGAGGGACAACTATATATATATATATATATATATATATATATA